CTGAAATCAGATGCACCCATTACTAATTAACGATCATTCTAACCTAATACAACCAAATCCTAATTACCCATATCAAACATTCAAATCTTAAATAAATATTAAAGAAATTTATAATCGAAACAACTATAACTTACTATTCGAAGAAGACGACGGCGGCGGCTTTGGGCGACGTTGGGCGGCGTGGGCGGCGTTAGGCGGTGTTTGGCGTCGGCGTCCGGCGGCGGCGATGGTTGGGCGGCGGCGGCGGCGTCGGGCGGCGTGAGGTTGACGGAGGGAGTTTTTGTGTTTGATTTTTTTTTTCTTTTTTTTTTATTTGGTTTTCAAATAGGTAATTTCAAAGAAAAATTAATGTAATTAGTATTTTGTATGAAAGGGTATTTTTGTACTTTTATTTTTATTTTGGTATTAAAGTAAGAAAAAACTTAAAAATATGTACTCAATTGTGGTTTTCAACTAGGTAGTATTCAACTAAGCAAAAATTAGTATTCAAAATAGTTGCCCCCATAAGATTACCCTTTCCTTTTTTTTTTTTTTTTCTTTTTATTAATTTATTTACCTTCAAATAAAAATAGTTTTCTTTCTCTTATAACTCACCAACTTGATTTAGAGTTGCATGCTCTGCTATCGTTATGATATATTTTAGCTAATTTAGCAATAATTTTATATTTTATTGGGTTATTATTATTATTATAAATTATTATTATTATTATTATTATTATTATTATTATTATTATTATTATTATTATTATTATTATTATTATTATTATTATTATTATTATTATTATTATTATTATTATTATTATTATTATTATTGTTATTATTATTATTATTATTATTATTATTATTATTATTATTATTATTATTATTATTATTATTATTATTATTATTATATAATCAAAGGGTCATTCAATTTACTTTGTAGAAAGTATCATTTAATCTATAATTGTATATAATCAATTGAGATATATTGTCAAATTACATCGATCTACATAATATATAAAAGTTATGATACAATAAATTAAAAGCACTAAAAACACTAATTTATTAATTATTGACAATCAAATATAAGTAAATTTCATAACATGATAGCATAATTTAGAAATTATAGGTGTCAATAAAAATTAATTAATAATCAACTGGGACATATGTCAAATTATATCGATTTAATTACATAATTTATATGTTGACTAAATCTATATAATAATAATAATAATAATAATAATAATAATAATAATAATAATAATAATAATAATAATAATAATAATAATAATAATAATAATATATACATCCGTTAAATGTCAACCTTAAAACACTAATTTATTAATTATTCATAATAAAGTAGAAACGTGAAGAGATTATAAATAAATTTTACAATATAATAATATGTTTTGTATTTATCTTTATTCATTTTGTGTTTACTTTTTCTAGATATCAAACTCGTTAGTCCATTATAATACTTTGTGACTTAATTTTACATGCTATTTTTTTTATTTACCATATAATAATAATTAAAATAAAATAAAATAAGTATAATATACTTATTATTTTTATTTTCTGATTTAACACATGTAATCTATAATACTCCTTTTATAATTTAATAATAATAAATATATTATTTTTCATATGATTCATGTTTTCATTAGTAAGTTATCCTGTGCTCATGTTTTTTTAATTATATAAATGCTCTTTTTGAAAATTTCTATTTAACTAGTAGTATATTCTAGGGGGAAATGAAAAAGAAAAATAAAATAAAAAGGAAAGGCAATAAAAGACAAACAAACTAAATATAGAGAGGGAATAAAATATATTTTCCACGTGTCAATTAACTACTGGGAATCCTACTTGTGTATTAGCACGGCTGACGGATCCAATACATACCTGATATATAATATTGGAAATTGTAATTTTATAGAGAGAGAAAATATTTAAATTCAAATATTAATAGTGGAAGGGCAGGCTAGTAAATGTAATATTACAAAACTCCCATTTTCTGGCTCGCCCTGGCCATCTATCTTTATTTTTAAACAAAATTATTTTATTTATACCGTTTACATTTTGACTTTTGAGGGAAAACTTAGAGAGAGAAATTTCAGTGTGTGAGAGAGAAAGAGAGAGAGAGAGAGAAGGGGGCTAACATGAAGGCGAACAATGAAACGACGATGGATCTGATTTTGAGGGATTTCTATGTTGTGGATCCCGTACGGAATTCGGGATATTACGGCGTGATAAAGTACACCGTCGAACCCCGGCGGCGGGGCAAATTTATCCGTTCGTCAAGCTTTGCCGAAAAATTCATGGAGCAGAAGAAGGCTCAGCAGATTCATGTAATAAACGGTGATAAAATTCTCCTCGTTTTGCACCAGGAAGATTTCGAGATCGGCAAGGATGTTTTCTTCGGGATCGCCGCCGCCGATGGCCTTCTCGTTGCTAGGTTTGTCGAACCAGCCGAATCCACCGTCGCTCAGCGCGTGTGGTACAATCTCCCTCTCTCTCTCTCTCTCTCTCTAGATCTACCTAAATCTCTCTCTCTCTAAAAATTGATTTTTCATTAATTAAATTTTTTTCTTTGTTGTGTATAGGGGAATGTTTGGTTTTCGCGGTGCAGGAAGTTAATATGTAACGCCGGCGTGGTGGCGCCGTTATCTTTGTCGTCTTCTAATTTCGATAATTGTGTCTGGGTGGTGCTCCGGTGGAACTAGTCGGCCCTCAGCCGATTTTTATAGTTTAACTTTATGTATTAATTCTCCAATATTAGCGTGTGTGTATATATGTACATTTTATACAAATTCATATGTATGCATTTATGTGATTTGATACCGGCCTGCAATCTCCGGCAAAGAAGTCTCACCGGAAAATTGATTTTTCAGCCGCTGACGTCAGCACGATGGTCCGTAAAAGATGGAATAGAGGGAAGAAGACTTTATTGCCCCTGCCAAATCAAAAAGATTACACTAGGTCGCGTTTTAATTTGCCAACAGTCTCATGCAATTTTCCATGTGGTAGTTTTTTCATATTTCAGAAAATATTGGGGTTAGATTGAAAAGTAACAACAATATTAAACTTTTTAATTTTTTTCCAAAATATTTTCATAAATTTTATGTTAAACAGGTGAAGACCGCATCAATGAAATTTGAAAATGAGTATAACTTTTTGGGTTATTTAGCCAATAAAATTTGTTAATCGGGGACTTTTTAGAAATAAATTGTAATTTTATGCTTATATATATGAAAGATTAATACATTTAAATTTAAATTTTCTCTCGTACAATTTTAGTTCGTATCTCTCTCATTTGATCAAATTCCAAACCTTCCCCCTATTTTATTCTACTAATTTTTTTAACGATATTATATTATCCGAATCCTACACTACTAATCCTCAACTACATGAGTTAATTATGATTGAAATGTAATTCGAATTTCATTGTTGAAAAAAATATTCAGTACTAAGTAGAAATATTATATGAAAATGTGAATCTTTACTAATGAGGGCTGATAATATATAAACTGAAGCCTATGGTAATAATATCGACGGTATTTAAACTTGAGCCATTTAAAATTTATTTACGGAAGATCGTACTAAATATTTACTTTTCGAATTAAATATTTATTAGTAGTAATATGAATTTAATTAAATAGAGTATAAGTTGAAGATCACAAGTTACGTAGGAATATTTAAAATTAAGAGTGGGATGTAAGGTAATTTTTAAGGAGAGTTTACTCTTTTATATCGTACACGTGTACATGTAAAGAGTTGACAATTTGTGCCAACTAGGAATTGGAATACACCATTACATCAGCGCTGACGTATGACACAAATTAATCAACAAAGAGCTGACCAATGAGACATTTAGTCATATATTTAATCCCTTGTACCATAAAATCGATATAATGTAACATAAAATTTAATAATTTTCTTTTAATAAACTATTACTTCTGTTGATTTATCTGTCTATAAACATATGCTCGTTATGTTGAGGCAGATTACAGTTGAGACACTAATGATGTTGAAACAATATTTCACGTGTTGTTATGAAATCTAACTTATAAAATTAGAATAAATGACACCATATATTAAAGACAATCTTCTACACTAAGCAATAGAATTCTTCAAACTAATCTCGAGAATCTAGTGGCAATAGTATATATATATATATATGGAAGTTTTCCCTTAAATTATTGTATAGGTTGGTGCATTTATGTTTGTACTTTGTAGCAAAGTTTTTTAAACATGTAATATTATTGGGCCAAGGCCCTAAATTTCTTTTTGTAAAGAAACCGTTACCGAAAAATTTAAATCATTTGCAACCCAACTATATATTTTGTCCTAATCACATCATGAAAAAAAAAATAAAGAAAAAAAAGGGAATTAAATAAGCATGCCTATGTGTTTAATTTCTGGAATATTCCAAATAATAGGATCTCTCTTTTTTAAACGTTATCTTTAAATCCATCCTTTTTGTAAAGAAACCACTACCGGAAAGTGATGACGTCATCTTTAAGACCACCCTTTAATTGTAAAGAAGCCACTACCGGAAAGTGATGACGTAATATCATCTGATTTTTTTTTTTGACAAATATACAAAAAGAAAAGAATTGGAAAAAAAAAAAAAAACAAAGCCGGACATGCACCAATCATGGATGCTTTTAAATGAAAATAAGTAGTATTTTTGCTCTTAATTAAGTAAATGTCAAATTTAGTGGAATTTTTAAAATTATATGGAATATTCTCCAGTGTGTACCTGTTTTACATATTCGAGCTTCACAATTTTTGAAACATGATTATCATAAAATGTGATTATTGGCTCGTAAATATCAGATTGTGGTGCATCAGAAACTTTATTTAATTTGCACAAAACGAGTACAAACTAGATAAAATTCCACGTACTATAAAAGATTCTGTTGAATTTAACACCATAAGGGTGAACATGTAAAAAGATTCATAGTTAAAGAAGGAGTTGATTGTAATTACTCAAATAAGAAGGGGGTTTTCGTAATTTGAAATTTCCTTAGAGTACTTGATGTAATTTAACCCAATTTTTATGATGTGAATTGTTAATTTAATTAATATGTTGAGTTGGCAAAACACATTTTTTCTTCTACAACATCACAAAAATACAGTAGCCCTAAAGCTTAAATATAATAAATCACATGCAGAAGAAAATATTACGTTAATTCCACCATTGATATATAATCAAGAGAAGAAACTTAAAAAACGACACCGTTTCATCAATTAATAATCCACGTACAATTACACAGATCCACAGTCATGCTCATTCCCACCACCAACCTCCGCCCCGGACTTCCTCTTCTCGGCGGCGGCGGCGAACACAAAGTCCAGATTATACAGCACCGGCACCAGCGTGGCGGAGCACAGAAACACGAGCACCGGCCCGAATACCCAAAGCATAAGCGGCATCGCCATGTAGAAAAGTCGGTTCCCAACCGTGTTCAGCGCGAACCCCCTCTCGAGCAGCTCCCCGACGTACTCCGGCGACACGACGCCGCTCGAGGTGTCCGGGGGGCAGTTGATGAGGAAGTTGACCTGGTTCGTGAACCGGATCGAGAGCGAGTGGCAGACGAACGAGAATAGGAAGATGACGAGGAGCGTGACGTACTTGAGCGCCACCATGAACTCGCCGTGGGCCCCGTACACGGCGTCGTTTAGGGGCTTCTTGATGCTGTAGGTGCTGCTTATCACGGCGGCCAGGCCGCAGCAGAGGAGGATTGAGGTCGTCGCCATTAGCGTCGACCCCATTATCGTGTTTCGGAGCGTCTGCACCGCCAGGATGTTTTTCTTTTCGTTGTCCTGCATTTAATTTTGCACATTAATTTTGCGCCAGCGAAATACTAAATTATCGAACTAATAATTTAATATATTTTAAGTGAAATTATTAATTTATCGAGATTCTACTGTAACTGTAGATCGAACAGGAAAAAAATTAAATCAAAATCACACAATTTTATGTTATCCTGTTTAAATAATTAATTTGAATTTTTAAATGAAGTGGTCAAATAAAAAATGGGTACATTACGAAAACCACCTTGAACTTAGGCTAAATAATAAAAAACACCCTATCTTATCCGGAATAACTATAATCTCTCTCTAATTAACTGTTCGATCGAGTTTTTTTAACAGAAAATGTGTACAGTATATTATACCTTGTGCTAAATAGGTGATAAATAAAAGAAAATATCTAAAATTGTGTAAAGCCTATTCCCTTGAATAAAAAAATAAAAAAATAAAAAAACTCGTGAAAAGTAACACTGTAAGAGGGTTGGTGTAAGACGGAAACAAACATCAGGGGGTTTCCGTATAATTACGAATAGATGGGGGTGTTTTTCGTTATTTAGTTTAAGTTTAGGGGGGGTTTTCGTAATTTACCCATAAAAAATATATATAAAATATGGTGCATGCATGGTAGGGCCAGACAAGAAACACTCATTGGAAAATGATTGGAAGAGGCAACCTCAGGAGGATATGTCGCTATCCTTAAAATCCGATTTTTGTTCCACAAAGGCAAAATCGTGTTTTGGATTCATCTTACATTATTACAAAAGCAACTGTGTTATATACTACAGTACAGTTTCACAACCAAAAAAAAGGGTACACAATTTCTGTATATGCATGCACACACACAACGCACTAGGACAAATAATTCCCGTACATTTCCACTTTCATAATTATTTTTTCAATAAATAATTGCTCGAATTTTATTTATATATATATATATATATATATAAATCGTTGAATTGTATATATGATAATTAATATGATTATATAAATTATAATATTGAACTAATTACAGAATCAAATTTTTTTTTAACCTACAGAGGGGTGGGAGGGAGGAATATATACTAAAATAATTTTAAATTCTATGAGAGAATTAATTCCTTACGATTTTATTTTTATTTTTATTTATATGATATGATAGAATCATATTAATTATTGTGATATAACTATTCAAAGAGTCGTGTTTGGATATACATAAAACTGGGTATTGCACTAACAACATTAAATGTTAGTGGTGGATGCTTAGTCATCATATATCATCTTTTTGCCATAATGGAATAAGATGTGTAGATTCATAATTAACCATTAATCAAAACAAAGAATTTAGATGTTAATTAATTAGCTGAGTCATTAATTAATTAAAACAATATATTGTTTGATAGTAATAAGAACTTGCACGGCAATAAAATCTTGATTCAGTTAGTTTGAGAAATTTGTTTCTTGTCACAACCCAACAACAATTCCACTAATCAAAAAATAATAATTGAGATAAATAATTAAAAAAAAAAAAAATTAGAGATAGAGATATATAGATACAGATATAGATGTATGTATATATACATACATACCTTCATGATGGCGGAGACCCAGAAACGGCGGCCGCGGGAATTAGTTCCGATGACAGTAGAAAAGGGCTGGGTGCGTACTTTATGCCACAGCCACACGTGATAGCCCATGCATAGTGAAAACCCTAGTGGCACAAGTATCACGTCCAGGTAGCATTTTTTCCATTCCATTTTCTCTCTCTAGAATCGATCTCCCGCCCTCTTTCTCTCTCTTTCTTTCTAACTTTGTTATGGGATTGGAGGGAATACTATTATTATTTATATATATATATAGGGAGGGAGGGGCGAGGGAAATATAATGAACGTGGACTTGTTTGAACGCAGTATCCGAAACCGAGGCGAAATAACCTAAAAATTAAAATAAAATAAAATAAAATAAAATAAAAATAAAGCTAACACTCCCACTTTGGTAATAAACTACAGACATGGGTCTTATCATGTGGCTTTTCTGTTCACTTGCTTGTCTGTTTCTTGCTTTACTTACGTATCTATATATATATCAATTATCGACAAATTACGATAACCCTAAAGTATGGTCAAATTACGAAAATATCCATTTTATTTGGGTAATTATACAGTCATCTATCCTTTTAAATATTTTTACATAAAATTTATGTAATTCAGTTATTTACCGAACCAAATCGTATATTCAGTTAAGTAAACGGTATAAAATGTTGGTGTACCGAAATTTCGGTTTGGTTTTACTAATTTAACATCCCTAAATTTACCTCTGAAGGGGTTTTTCGTAAGATAATACATATTTGAGGGGATAACTGTAATTATCCAAACATGAGGGGATTTTCATAATTTGCCGTATTATGGATTTCGAATAGTAAAAATCTTAAGACAGACACGTGATTTGTTAACCTAGCTACGATTCACACACATTATATTATTGATTCACGTGTGTTTGTATGTGGTGTAATTTATGCTGTGATGCAATAATTACTCAGTTATTTCATCAGGTAAGTAATTTAATTTATATAAAACTAACTACTATTATTTATTTAAATGTATTTAATTTCATTAATATTTATCTGTCATGATTTTTGGCTGGTGGGGGTAAGTGGAAAAGAGGATGGCAATTCTTGATTTGTTTGTGAAATAAATAGTGTACAATAATGGGCATGATTGGTAAACATTAGTGAAATACTGAGTGGCAATTTGTTGGCTAATAACCGGGAAAAAAATAAAATAAAGTGGCGAACAGGGACTAACATGCAATTTCCATGACTCGTCATCCAACTCAACCCAGCAGCAGCTGCCAACTTTTGCTGTTTCAGTCCCCCAATTTAGAATAATTATTATTTTCAACAATAATATCTTATAATTGGACCTGTAATTTTATACAGTCTCCCACTTTTTATTTGAGTTCATAATCTCCACCACAAATACATGATAATGGTGCTATACACGTGTGCTTAGCTTGTTGATTTTATTAATTAATAATTTAAGCAAAATTATTTTGTTTCAAAATACCCTTAAAATGACGTACGTTCAATTATTCGAGTCTCGAAGTTACAACAAACGCAAGCCTAAAGATGCTAAGCATGGCCATTTATGCCAAACTAGCACCTATTGGGTGTATTAGTACGTCTTACTCATGAGTTGGGACCAGAAGAAATTTTTATTTAAACGAAGTTATTAATTTATCGAAATTCTATTGTATATATACCATAAATAGGTTGAATGAATTGCATGCATACACAATTATATTATATTTATATTTAGTGGAGGCTAACCAAACAGCTTCCTACAATCCTATCATACTAAACTTGCTATATAACTTAAACTGGAAATTAATTCATTAAATAATTTACAACAAACCCATCCAAAAAAAGCCATCGAATTGTAGCAAATGCTTTTTTTTTTTTTTTTGACTTTTTTTTTTTGGGACTCTAATTTAAGACGTCAAAATATTGGAGCTAATGTTTTCTTCTTTGAATATAGAAAAAAAAAGGTCATTATTTAGTGGGATTGAAAGTACTTTAGAAGCGATAAATTAAATTAATTAATACGTGGATGACATTAACTCTTACCTCTGCAGTCTTAGAATTCTTGCACCTTGCACCAACTTACCATCTCCGGAACCAGTTGAGCTACACCCATACGGGTGTATGCAGTTTTAGAATTCTTAGTTTCAAGAAGAGACGTTTTGGCTTCCAATGTTTATTTTGCGCGAGGACTATATGTTTGTTGTTCGCAATTTGTTTGTATATAATGTAGTTGATATCTTTCGTCTAAGTTTGCAAACTATTGCACGATAATGAAGTACATTGTGAATCAACGAATCATACGTTGGTAAATAAAACGAGCCATTAAGACTAAAACATTTGGGCTTAAATTCTCTAATACATATAGGCCCACATATCAAACTAACAATATTACCAGATATGGCCCTTACTTGTTTCTAAATTAACAACATTGCCACCACTTCTTTTGAACAAGAAGCCGCAAAGTGGAAGAGTTAACGGCAGTCGAGCATTCCGTTATCTGCTTCAATGAAATTCGGAAGCTACCGAATCTTAGTATTAGCCGTCGTTACCTCAATTCAGCTGCCCCTTTTCGTCATTTCATCTCGATTAATCCCGGATCCACCCGACCCGCAATGCAGCAGCCCCGACCCGGCAACCCTCCGCTCCGACCAAATGACGGTGATCATCAACGGTTACTCGGAGCACCGGATTCCGCTGCTCCAGTCAATTACAGCCGCGTACGCCGCCTCGCCGTCAGTCGCCGCCGTCGTCCTCCTCTGGTGCAACCCGTCCACCTCACACCAAACCCTCGCCCACCTCACGCAGAACCTCTCCGCCGCCGTACTCCGCGCTCCGTCCTCCAGCCTGAACCACCGGTTCCACCCTTGGGAGATCATCAAAACCAGAGGCGTCCTCATCTGCGACGACGACGTCGAACCGGATCCGAATTCGGTCTCATTCGCCTTCGCCGTCTGGAGATCCGATCCGGACCGGGCGGTCGGGTTCTTCGCCCGGTCGCACGCGTACGACGTCGCATCGAAGACCTGGATCTACACAATGGAGAGGGGGAAGTACTCGATCATCCTCACCAAATTCATGATCGTGAGCATCAAACACCTCGAGAAATACTCGTGCGACGAACAGTACGCGGATGCTAGGAAAATTGTGGATGAGATGAATAATTGCGAAGATATCCTGATGAATTTCGTCGTGGCGGAGGAGAATCGGAAAGGTCCGGTGCTTGTAGGGGCGAAGGACGGCGGAGTGAGGGACTACGGGGATGCTAGAAACGACGGCGTATCGGAGGGAGTGAAGGAGGTGGGGTTGAGTAGCAGAAGAGGAGAGCACAGAAAGAGAAGAGGGAATTGTATAAGGGAATTTCATAGGGTTTTGGGGAAAATGCCATTGAAATATAGTTATGGGAAATTGGTGGATGATGTTGGGGAACAAGGGTTATGCGAGATGGGTGGGAAACTGGTGCTCTGTGACAACCAAGATTTTAGGTGAAAAAGATTGAATTTTTAATTTTTTTTATGTAATGAATTTTAGAGTGAATTTCAATTTTCAAAGAATTGTTCTCTAATGATTGATTTTGATCATAAGAAATGAAATAAATTCTAGATGGTATTTGTATTGATGGTTGTTATTCACTTCTTACATTCCGGTTTTTATGGGGTTACTATTTATGGGCATGTGTCTTGGCACAAGGATAGGAAAGAATGAATAACCAAAGGGTGAGTCAAACTAATACCCGCCAAAGATGGAGCTCCTTCTACACATCTGACTGGAAAAGGAAAGAACAGAGACAGAGAAAGAGAAAGAGGATGTATGTGTGCCTGTGAGAGAGAGATCAGGCAGAGAGAGAGAGAGAGAGAGAGAGAGAGGCAGTACCTGAAATTGTTGACCATTTTTGGTTCGTAAATCTGAAAATCGTTCTGTAAAAAGGTCTAGAAGTTCTTGTGTGCATATTATCGTTCTCTTCAAGAACTTCGAGATCGTCAAGGGAAAAGGAGAAGTTTGTTTTTTGAACCCGTATATAGAACCAGATCACAATTATTCGTCTGAGGGGAAGTGAAAGGGAGAAGAAATGTGGGGCCCACCTTCGAATAACGGGGAGAGGATGGCTCCGATGGCTAGGCTGGTGGCGGTGGCTATAGACAGGGATAAGGGCAGCCAAATTGCACTTAAATGGGCTGTTGACAATCTTCTTGTTAAAGGGCAGACTGTTATTTTGGTTCATGTCAAAGTTAAACAACCTCCCTCTGGATTTTCCCCATCACCTTCTTTAGGCGGCGCCTGTAATAATCTCTCTCTCTCTCTCTCTGTGTGTGTGTGTGTGTGTGTGTGTGTGTTTATTTCATTATTTGTCTGTGTATCTCTGTTTGTCTGGATGAATACATGCGTTTCAGACACTCTTTCGTGTGTGTCGAAATGATTCCATTCTGAAAATTTGCAGTGTTCTCTGTGGGAATATAATTAGAGCATCCATTTGCTCTAATTTTAATTTCTTGGCTCAATCTAATTCTATCATTTTTTTTTCCTGGACATAGGGTCTAATATGACCGATCCAAACGAGGACGCTGGAGACGAAGCGCTATTAAAGGAGCTATTCCTTCCTTTTCGGGTCTTCTGTACACGAAAAGACGTAAATTCTCCCCCCATATTCAAAACACGCACCGTAAAATAAAATATGAAATAGCTCCCAACAAAATAAATCCTAATTAACTTGCTTATAAATATTTTTCTTTCTGCCAGATAAATTGCTACGATATCGTGCTTGACGACACAGACGTGACAAGAGCTATCGTCGAGTTCGTAAAGCAATCCACAATCGACGTGTTGGTTCTCGGTGCTACAGTCAAAGGCAACAGCATCTTCAGGTACAGTGTGCTCTAATAATACATACAGATTCTGTGCAATCTTTGTACTAAATTTGAGTGCCTTTTTTCTTTTTTTTGTCAAAGAAGATTTAAAGCAAAAGATATACCTGGAAGTGTCCTAAAAGGCGCTCCCGATTTTTGCAACGTGTATGTAATCAACAAAGGAAAGATTTCTTCCACGAGAGCCGCCTCTCGCCCTCCTCCATCGATTTTCAGCCCACTTCGTAATCAGATTCTTTCTCAAGCCAACAGCAAATTTTATGGATCGGACCCACCTATGCCCTCCTCCACCTCTTCTTCTAGAAGTTAGTCATTCTTCTAGAAGTATATATAATCGTATATATATATATATATGTATATATATATATAAATATATATATATATATATATATAATCGTATTAGTTCGTGTCCAAATCCCTCACAATTATAAAATGTTGTGCAGGTTCATACTCAGGACACTCAAGGCCAGGATCCGAACCATCTCCACGTGCGAGGCAAAACGAGGCAAACTTCATTAAGTATGGTCTTTAATTATTAGGGATTTTTTTGTCAAAAGCATAATTGCATGTTAATTATTTACTTGATTGTAACTTTTTTAACTATTGTGACTACAAAAAATAGGTCTCCATTCTCTCACCGGAAAGCGCCGAATGGAAAAGCGTACGACCTTTCGCCGCCAGATAATGATATATCATTTGTCAGTTCGAGGAGAAGCGTTGATATGTTTCCTACGTTCAGCGAGAGCTACGATGGGGCGCCCACCCCCCCTCGTCTTTCTGGATTCTCTGACGCCGACTATCAAGGCTTCGATTCTTGGAGCCACGGACGCAAATCGGTGGACATAATGTCACCGATGGAACTTTCTGCTTCGCCTGAAAATGATAAAGCATTCGTGGCACAGTCTATGGTAATTGTTTTCCAATTTTTGGCACTATCTTATACGAACTATTTCTACAGGAAAAAAAAAAAATCGATCTCTTCTGTTTTTACGCTTCCGCAATGCACAAATGATAAAAATTACGATAAATCGTATTCTTTGAAATAACAGGATGAAGTGGAAGCAGAAATGAGAAGGCTAAAGCAGGAGCTGAAGCAGACAATGGAGATGTACAGTACTGCATGCAAAGAAGCACTCTCAGCAAGAGAAAAGGCACGATACACTTTCTTTCTTCTCGCTCTCTAATTTTTTCCGGTGCATATTGTGATTTTATTTTATTTTAAATTATTGTTAGGCAAAGGAGCTACAGCGCTGGAAAATCGAAGAACAGAAGAGATTAGAAGATGCACGGTTGGCAGAAGAAGCGGCATTGGCTGTGGCGGAAAAGGAGAAGGCAAAATCTAAGGCAGCTCTCGAGCATGCAGAAGCAGCTCAGCGAATAGCAGAGCTCGAAGCTCAAAAGAGAATCAACGCAGAAATGAAGGCATTAAAAGAATCGGAAGAGAAGAGTAGGGTCATAAACTCTCTGTCGAATTCAGATTCTAGGTACAGAAAGTACACAATCGAGGAAATCGAAGTTGCTACCGAATATTTTGCGCAATCTAGAAAGATTGGAGAAGGAGGTTACGGGCCTGTGTACAAGTGCTATCTGGACCATACACCTGTCGCTGTGAAGGTCCTTCGGCCGGATGCTACTCAAGGAAGATCGCAGTTTCAACAAGAGGTACGCGTAAAATATAAATTTCAAATGAATTCGTTTTTTGCAGTCTTATCTACTACTGTTACTTGCTGTTCGTTATATTTAGGGGGTTAAAGTTGAAACTGAATTCCAATTTCCGTCTATTCTGATACGGAAAGTTCTAATCTTGGAACAACTTTTTTCATCCCGATTTCCGATTTCTCTTGGATTGGAATTGGAAGTATATATAAAATAATTGGAATTTCCGATTTTCGATCTGATTTCCAATTTTTTCTGGGTTTTCTTTGATCCAATTTTTAGTTTCCAAAGTTTTCCGATTTTTTAATTTTTTATCTTCTGAAATACACCTATAAACAATCTTTATTTATTTTAGTTGGTGCAAAATTAATTAAATGTATTTATATTTTTGCTTACTTTATTGGCCATGTTGCACATTCAAAAGCTTATAATCTTTTTCTATGTCCATTTTTTTGCCTCATTCACAATAAAATCCCAAATTTTCTGAAATTTTTAAAACTTGTGTGATTTCCGAAATTTCTGAAACTTTCGGAAACGGACCGGAAATTTTATTGGAACTAGTTTTGTACTTCCGAAAAAAAATGGAATTTTTCCAGAAAAACGTTTTATTTGATGACGCAACTAATATTCTGCGATATAATGTAAGGTCGAAATTTTAAGCTGCATAAGGCACCCAAACATGGTCTTACTCCTAGGCGCCTGCCCAGAATACGGTTGCCTAGTTTACGAGTACATGTCAAGCGGAAGCTTAGACGACTGTCTCTTCAAACGAGGCAAAAACCCGCCTCTCTCATGGCAGCACAGATTCAGAATCTCCGCCGAAATAGGCACCGGCCTCCTCTTCCTCCACCAAACCAAACCGGAGCCGCTAGTCCACCGCGACCTCAAACCAGGGAATATCCTCCTCGACCGGAATTACGTCAGCAAAATCAGCGACGTGGGCTTGGCCAGGCTGGTTCCGCCATCTGTCGCCGACAACGTGACACAGTACCGTATGACCTCGACAGCTGGCACTTTCTGCTACATCGATCCAGAGTACCAGCAAACGGGCATGCTCGGTGTGAAATCGGATATCTATTCTCTCGGGATTATATTCTTGCAGATTCTTACGGGGAAGTCTCCGATGGGGTTGACTCATCATGTTGACCGAGCTATCGAGAGAGGGACTTTTGCTGAGATGCTCGATCCTTCTGTGACTGATTGGCCTTACGAGGAGGCTCTGAACTTTGCGAAGTTAGCACTTAAGTGCTCTGAACTTAGAAGGAAAGATCGGCCGGATCTTGGTAAAGTTGTGCTTCCACATTTGAATCGATTGAGGGAGCTCGCGGAAGATTGCTCGTTCAATTCGATGCCGTACAGTGCTAATCCCTCGCCTTGTCATAGTCAAGTTTCCATATCGAAAGTAAGTCGCCCCGTTAAATATTTTTTGAGTTTGTTGCATTCAGCACCCCTGTGCTGCATCGAATTGCTAAAAAAACCATACGATGCATTTTGTTGGACACCCTATCGATGAGCCAATTCTTCAAATTTAACAGAAAAATAAGATATGTATATAAATTCATTTGTATCGACATTTAGGAGAAACGAGCATTACTAGTATGTTTCTATTTTCTGCATAGAAACATAATATCCACCATCAACACAATAAATTTAAGCTATTCGTGCACGATAAATAATCACCTCGATTTTTATTTGTTTTACAGGAAGATTTAAGCTATCCACCATCAACACAATCGAGCATGGGGAGCTGATGATATGCAGGTAGATATAGTATCGATTTCACTGATACGTACTTTTTTTTTGTTGTATACGGAAATATATAGAAGCAACGTTTTTCTACTTTTTAATGTAAAGAAAGCTCGATGCTGCTGTACTTCGAAACATTATAGTTTCACAAGGCAAAGGGTTGTGCATCTCTTTTTGTAAATGAGGTAACAATTTCAGTTCAAAAATTCCTTGTAATAATATCATAATTAAATCAATAGATAAACAAAAAAATCATCTTCTTCTATCTTTGTTTCTTTATTTTCTCTCTCTCAAGTAGTAGTAAATGATGCTCTCGAAAACGAGAAATCTTCATCGGTCATAGCTCTCGAAGAATAAACGTCACCATCACTCGCGTACGACGAAAAATCGTCCTCGAAATCCAACTCCTCGATTTTCTCAACCGCCTCGCTCAAACCCCACCTCTTCTCCACATTCCACTCGCAACAACACATCCCGATTTTCAAAAGCCGAAGCATTTGCCCTTCCCCATTTCTCGACCTCATCTCCTTATCGAACACCTCACCGGTCCACTCTTCCCGTACGACCGAGTTGACCCAATTCGCCAGGTCCGCGGTGGGCCCGCCCCCCTGCTTCAGATAGTTGGCCGGAAAGTGGCCGGTGAGGAGCTCGAGTATGAGAATGCCAAGGCTCCACACGTCGGTCTTTCGAGTGACGCGGTGGTTCTGGGTGGATTCCGGTGACTTGTGGGCCACCATGAATTGGTGGGAGTGGTCCTTGTTGATGACCGGTGAGAGCGCGTAGTCGGATAGGAGCGGTTCGTACGCGGCGGTTAGGAGAACGTTCGAGGATTTGAGGTGGCCGTGTGGCAGAGTTAGCGTCGGAAGTTCTTTGTATAGATAGGCTAGTCCTCTCGCCACTCCTTTGACGATTCTTAAGCGCGTGGGCCAGTCTAGAGCCATTTGGTTCGAACTTCTCTTGCCTGTTAATGAGGATTTTTTAGCAAAATAATTTCGCAGCGAGGGCTTTTTAGCAAAAAAAACAAAAAAATAGAACGTACCGTGGAGGTGACTAGCCAAGCTGCCATTATCGACAAACTCCGAAATCAAGAGCTTCTCGTCTTTCCTGTAATAGAAAGCGACAAGTGGCAGCAAATTAGGGTGCGACAGTCTCCCAAGCCTTCGCATGTGCTCGTAAAACTCTTCTTTCCCCACATTGCTCATTTGTTTGAATCTTCTTACAACGTACGATTGCCCGTTGTACAGCGCAGCTTTGTAAGAAGATCCGAAGCTTCCGCTTCCCAAAACTTCCGCGGAAGCCCTAAGAAGATCTTCGAGCTCGAATCTTTGTACGTCGTTTCTCACAAAGTACAAGAGTTCTCCGCTTTTTACGTTGCTTTTTTTACTCGGCTCTTCGTATTCTGTGCGTGAAGTGTCGATCGATTTCTCGTATTTTAACGGTCTTGTTGAACGCGTACGGTAGATTAGGAAGAGCAATGTGAGTGCTGCTAGTGTGAGGAACCCTAGCGAAGCGGCGATTAAGGAGATTTTTAGGACCGGTTTTTTAGGTTTGCATGGCTGTAATGGCTCACCACATAGGTTTATATTTCCTGATTAAAAAAAAAAAATCGAGTTATCGAAAACTTCCGAAAAAAACCGAAAACTAAGAAATCAAAGATAAAACTCACCGATAAACGAGTCTCCGCTCAGTTTGCTAAGCGTAACAGGTATACGGCCCTCGAGATCATTATACGAGAAATTCGCCGTCAAATTCTCCTGCCGAAAATCGGGTATCCGCCCTTCAAACCCGTTATTCTGAAGCTTCAACTCGACCAACTTAGGCAATTTCAGCATCGACAACGGAATATTCCCCGTAAAGGAATTATCATTCATCACAACTTTCCTCATAGACCTCATCCCTAAAAAGGAATCTTCCGGAATCTCGCCACTAAAGCCGTTATTAGCCAAGAACAAGCTTCTAAGCTTCCCGAGCTTGTTTATTCCGCTCGGAAACGGGCCCGAAAAGTTGTTGTTCATAACGCTGAACGTTAAAATGGGCAGGTTCGAGAGAGACTCGGTATCGATCGTGCCGGATAAGCCCATCCCCTCGAGACGTAAGCCGTAAAACGAGCCGTTCTGACACATACACCCAATCCAGTTAGGTTTGTTCCATGCGCAGAGCTTCGGCAAAGGCGGCTCTTTCCAGTTCTCGAGCATGGTTGCATTCGTGAGGGACTGTTTGAACTTGATTAGTGACGTGGCGTACGCCGTGTCGTTGGATGACGACGGCACGACGAGAAACGACACGATGAAAAGAGCAAGAAGTAACCGAAAATGAGTAGTGTTATTAGGGTTAGTAGCCATGATTGTCAAATGATGTTTTTTTTTGGTTGTAATAAAGAAGAGGGCATGTGATATTAGATATATGGTTGAAGATTACAATAAAGATTTTGTGAGGTGGTGATGTAATTAACAAAGTTTGTCAATGGGATTATTAGCTGTTCTTGGCCGGCTTTTATTTTATTTTATTTTATTTTTATTTTTATTTTTTAATTTTGGATCCTCGGGTGATGATAATTTGGCAAGAATGTATGGATTTTGGATTTTTTTTTTATTTTTTATTATCACATAGTGATGTAAGTTGTTGTCACTTATTGGCCTCTTTTTGTTTTTTAATAGTAAATTACGGC